AGTCCAGCGGTTGCACATGCCCAGTTCCTTACCTTGATTGGATTTTCGTTGTCATGGGTAACATCCATATAGAGCGCATGAGCAATACCAGGTACAAAAGGCTTGGTTGATAAGGGGTCCATAAAGGACCCTACAGGGTCTCCGCCATAGCGGTAAATGAGCCTACCCTCTTCATGGGCGTCATGTGCTGACATAGCCTCTGTATTAAGAAATAAGAATTATTGGGACGAAAWATTTTGTATGTAAAAGTACATGACTGCGAAATACGCTAGACTCTGGACCCTTATTTGACCACAGGAAGCCCATAACAGTGGAAGTGGACAAAGGTTGCGACGCATCTGGACTATAATGTGAAAGGAATGGACCTTTCTAAAGCAGTAGCTATGTTGGTTGGAGCAACAGACTTCAGAGTGAAGCTACTCCGAGTTAAACAAAAAATATATAGCCTCTACTCGGGCTAATTATCATGGGAATAAACATGGTGCAGTGTGATAATTAACAATTGAAGTGATTATCGGGGAATATTTACCGAGACGCGAGTTTTCGAACGGCGAGGTAAATATTCCCCAATAATCACTCTGCCTGAGGCAAATAATTGTTTTAGTMAAAAAACACAGGTGATTCTTTCAAAAAAAAGARAAAAAAAAGAAGATAAAAGATATTTTTTCCGGTAACAGCAATAAAGCCGCCATTTTGGATTATCSCTGGAGGTGATTATCGTGTGATAGTGTGAGTTTCTTGACCAATCAGCGCGCGAGACTTTCAATAATCACCTGTGTATCTTTACTAATTGTTTGTATTGTGTCATTGTACCTCTTATTAACGATGTTATTCCAAGGCGATTGACAAAAATGTTGTCCAGCAATTCTGACCCTGTGAAGAGTTCRGCCACYACATAGAGYTCAGGGTTTTCCTTGCGAGCMGCGTCTAACATGTACTGTAATATACAGAGAAAGAAAAACGGCAAAAACACTTCAGAAACTGTGTGTTCACTTGGTGTCCCGAAGAGAATCAATGATTTTACAGCCATTTGCATTGCTACACGGTCACCACAGACAAAACTAGCGACGTGCACTTTGCAATAGATTGCCGTCAATCAAAAGCGTTGACGTCATTTACACGCGTTTGCATCGGCCCAGATAGGCCCGGTGAGTGTGGCTCATAATACTTGTAAACAATTGACACGTTTTGGCGCCTTTTGAATCACACACGCGTGTAAATGACGTYAACGTGTTTGATTGACGGCAATCTATTGCAAAGTGCACGTCGCGATTTTTGYCTGGGGTGGCCGCGTAGCAATGCAAATGGCGGTAAAAGCTCATTAAAAAGTACAAGAAAAAATACATTGATTCTAGAAATAAATTATTTCTCTTCCCAGCAGATCGAGGCAGTTAGCGTCGTAGCGTCTGTTATGTTAACAGCAAGTGCATTTCAAATCAACCACGTGATGCTAATGTCGTACCACGTGGACAAGTTTTAAAAACCACGTGACCGAAGTGCAGTCAAGTTGTTATCACGTGGTGTAAAAAAACATGTCCACGTGGTACAACGTTGGCATCACGTGGTCGATTTGAAATGCACTTGCTGTTAATATAACAGACCTTACGAAGGCGATTAAAAATATCACATCTGCCTCGGTCTACTGGGAAGGTATTTTGAGCTGTTGTCTAAAGTGTTACCTCGGCAACATGGAGTGGAGTGCTGTGACAATTGTCAAGACGAACACCAGAAAAAAGTCTAAACAAAATAAGAAAAAAATATATATAATCATTGTCCAAGACGGCTCAGAGTTTATCTTACTAGGTATTGTATCAAGTTTTGCTGACCCTCACGGTATATGAAGCAACTTATGCAGCTACAAATTGTAAGACTCGGAAAGAATTCTGGCTCTTAAATGGGGTTTGAACCCGTGCCCTGGTGATTCCGGTTTGATGCTGTAACCACTGAGCTACCAAGTCTCATATGAGACTTCAAGGACACATTAGGTGGGTTTGTCGGCTGATAGGAAAGATATAAAAGTGGATGGTATTGAAGGCTTATTAACCTAGCGCATAATTTGGTGTATTTAACCATGTGTTCCCACAAGAAAGGTGCATCCTCGGGTTTCTCCCCATAGCGCACTTTAACGCTATCACCCCAGGCGATCACTTCACGTCTGAGGTAGGCATTAGATGCAGGTCTAGCAAAGTCTTTCAATGGATCTCCTCCAAACATCCAGCCCTGGTGAGCCATACAGAAGGGAGCTTTGTTGGAGTCCATTAGCTTTTCGTC